TTTCATAAAGATTTGTTTCGGATCTACTTTAACACAATTAATCAGGGTCAAAACTGTGTTTGCTCACCTGAAAGGACTCTAGGAAAGAGTTGAAGTAGATGAAGACAATCTGTGATATCTCATCCTCGCCTGGGTTGACGAAGAACAGCATGTATGTGATGCCCAGCAGCGGCAGAAGAACCAGTGTGGCCTTTACTGCTTTCCTGTGAGAGTCAGAGATGTACAGATGATGATAACAGCCCAAACTCAGAAATAAAAGTCTTGTCTTTAGAAATTAGAAATCATTTTTCAAAGTTGTAAATAAAACAAGATTATTCAAGAGTCTTACAAGAAAATAATGCTATTTTAGTCTTTCTACGCATGTTTGATTCAGTGTGTAAATTGCCATTTCTTTGTAATTATTTTCTAAATTAACTAGAATTTCTGAGTGAAAATTGTTTCAAGGAAACAAAACTGCAAAAAAATCCCTGTTCTCAGGGAACCATGGTTACATGCGTAACCTGAGACATTTAGTATTATCCATTATCCAATCTTTTTTTTTAAATTGCTTTTTGATTTTATTAATGATTGTGCATGCTTTCATCAGTCTGATCAGGATTGTGCCAAAACTAACCAAAATAATCAGTTTGCATTAAACATGTTTTCCTGACGTGACCACCCTAAAATTCAATTTTCCCCACAGATGAACTATTACTCCCGTGAGGAGTCGGACAGATGTGGGAGCAGATGAATCTGTGGAAAACATTGCTTCGACATGCGTGAGAGACCCCTGGGGCACGCCAGGAAGCAAATGGGGCAAAACAGGGGACAGAGTTGACCTTGTGTGCTTCGGATGACATGGCAGACTGTGAGAAATGTACCACAAGGAAATCGAACGAGGATTTCCGAACATGTGGGTGAGATTTAATAAAACACTAAACCTCAAAACACACACATTTAGTCATGTAAACTGATTGTTTTTTTGCAAAAACAAAAGCCTTAGCATGTGATGTTTCAGCACAAAACCTGTGTCTTACACACTATGCACCTGCAATCCAGTTTAAGCAAGCATTAAATGCACTTAAATAGCACTGCGCTGTATTTAGATTCAGTCACTGTCATTATTTTCAATGCAAATTAGGCTTATTATACCAATGCGCCTTGTTCACAAACCTCAGCACTTTTTTGTAAAAGGCAGCGTGTGCAAATAAACAACTCTATCAGCGGGTGCAATTTATTGGTGGGAATTTCATAAAGATTTGTTTCGGATCTGCTTTAACACAATTAATCAGGGTCAAAACTGTGTTTGCTCACCTGAAAGGACTCTAGGAAAGAGTTGAAGTAGATGAAGACAATCTGTGATATCTCATCCTCGCCTGGGTTGACGAAGAACAGCATGTATGTGATGCCCAGCAGCGGCAGAAGAACCAGTGTGGCCTTTACTGCTTTCCTGTGAGAGTCAGAGACGTACAGATGATGATAACAGCCTAAACTCAGAAATAAAAGTCTTGTCTTTAGAAATTAGAAATTTTTCAAAGTTGTAAATAAAACAAGATTATTCAAGAGTCTTACAAGAAAATAATGCTATTTTAGTCTTTCTACGCATGTTTAATTCAGTGTGTAAATTGCAATTTCTTTGTAATTATTTTCTAAATTAACTAGAATTTCTGAGTGAAAATTGTTTCAAGGAAACAAAACTGCAAAAAAAATTTTTTCCAGAACATTCTCTTTGTCTGTAATTGAAGAGCCAAAAGTACACACAGTTTTACGATTTTAAAGACATATTTTAAAGAAAATAAGTTGAAAAAGGAGGTAACACTTTAGTATAGGGAACAATTCTTACTATAGTTGCTTATTAGCATGCCTATTAATAACATATTGGCTGTTTATTAGTACTTAGAAAGCACATATTCTGCATGACCATATTCAACATCCCTAATCCTACCCATTACCTAAACTTAACAACTACCTTATTAACTATTAATAAGAAGCAAATTAGCAGTTTATCGAGGCAAAAGTCATAGTTCATGGTTTGTTAATAGTGAGAATTGGACCTTAAAATAAAGTGTGACCAAAAAGGAAATAATCTTTTCTACTTTATTTTGTACTGTGGTCAGCATTCACATTAAAGTACATCTTTTTACATTTCTTATTCTTAATTTTTGTTTTAAATTATACTCAAAATAAGTATAGACAGTTTTAACCTTAGAAAATTATATAATATTTTTTTATTTTATTTCATTATATTTATTTAAATAAATGAAATGAGGCATGTCATCAAATATTAAATATACAAAAAATAATCATCCAATTAAAACCACATTTAACAAACAAACTTTAGTTTATTCCATGAACTAAGACAAAAAAGTAAAAAAAAAAAAGTTACACAAAATAATGTTACAGTACCTAATTCACAAAGAGTTCAACAGGATGACATTGAGATGAATTTGGTTTAAGCAATATGTATTGCATTTGCTATGGGCCACTGACTGTGACTGTCAAATACATTAGTCATAGCTGGAGGGAATATGAGCGCACCACACACACACACCTCCAACTCTCATCCTCAGTATACATCAATCATCCAAACAATCATCCATCAATCCCTACCTCCCTTATTTATGCCACAATTTTGACACAGCACACTAACAGCTTATTATAAAGTTCCAGAACTCATGGCAAGTCTCCTGGGCTAGCAAAAAAAAAAAAACATTCCTCTGGGATCTGTCAGTGCTGAATAATCTGCCTCACCTGTACTGAATGGTCTCTGAGGTGGTGGAGGCCCTCAGTTTAGTCATCAGGATCCTCACAATGTTGAAGAGAAAAATGAAGTTAATCTAAAGATGGAGAGAGGAAGAGAGAAAGCACTCGATTTTGCACACTTGAATGCCAGATATGAATTATCAATATGAAATTACAAACATAAATCATGGAAAATGCAATAAGACTTGTGAAAGGGGAAGCGCCAAACAAATAAAAAATGCTAAATGACCTGCACACACCAAATCTCATGAAACATTTGTATAATTGGGTACAGAATCCAAACTGTGCTGACTCACCAGCAGGACCAGGATCATGGGACCCTGATAAATATAATCAGTGTAAATGCCGGCCCGCTTCCCAAACCAGCACCTGCACAGATAGAATAAGATCATAAAGCACACAAAACGATTATACAGTATACAGTATATAATATTTTGACCCCGTTTCTTCAGATACAGCGTGACTATATATCCGTGTAACAATATAACGGGATTTTGAGATAATTATTTATTACTCTAGCACAATGATTAAACAAGCAAGTCTAGTAAAGTGATTAAAGAAGATCCACTGGAAAATATCTAAAAAGAAGCTTTTCTCTCTCTCTCTCTATATATATATACAAAAGAAACAAAGCAAGGAAGAGAAGGCAGCAAGTGTGTCCCTTGGGCAGATATGCACCAGATTTGTTAATCTTACAGTTTCAGTTGGGTACATGGCATAATCAAGACTGTCTCGGCTGAGTGTGTCAGTTTTACAGGAAGAGAGGAACATGTGGCGTTTGGGGATATGTCTGAATAGCAAACTGCTGTCGTTTCTGGAGCTCAACCAAAGACAGGCACAGGTTCATCCAGGTAAAACAAGCCTCATGTTTTAAAATGAGCATGTTTTAAAAATGCTTTTCCGGCGCCGTCTACAACAGTACTTAAATAGTTTATCACATATTTCATATTTTCTTTGACCTCATGTATATATTTTTTATAATGTTTCAGGCAACCTGTCCATTCTGTCAACTGTCAATTGGTAAGGGATAGGCTAATTTGGCTAGACTCTATTTAAAGGAGAGTTCACCCAGAAATGAAATTTCTGTCATCATTTACTCACTCACAAACCTGTATGAGTTTCTTCTGTTGAGCAGAAAAGAAGGTATTTTAAAGAATGTTGGTAACAAACACTTGTTGGTCCCCAATGACTTCCACAGATTAAGGGATAGGCTAATTTGGCTAGACTCTATTTAAAGGAGAGTTCACCCAGAAATGAAATTTCTGTCATCATTTACTCACTCACAAACCTGTATGAGTTTCTTTCTTCTGTTGAGCAGAAAAGAAGGTATTTTAAAGAATGTTGGTAACAAACACTTGTTGGTCCCCAATGACTTCCACAGAATTAAAAGAATACTGTTGAATAAGTCAATGGGGAGCAGAAACTGTTCAGTTACCCACATTCTCCAATAGATATTTTGTGTTCAGTGAAAGAAAGAAACTCATACAGGTTTGTGAGTGAGTAGATGATAACAGAATTATAATTTTTGGGTGAACTATTCCTTCAAGTGACAAATACATTTTCAAGACACCCTAGCACCCACCTTGATGTACAGCCTTTGACATTAACAACATAATCAGTGTACTATTATATGGTTAACTGCATTTTATTACTAGCATTTAGCATTGTTTGCTTGCTGTGCAGAACTGTGACCCATTTTGGGGTCAAATGCACCAGCTGAGTATCACTTCTCTCTATAGTGTAAAGCAGATGTAAGTGAGAAAGAGAATTAGAGAGGTGTTAAGGATTGTTAACAGAGACTCTTTAATTACTTCTGTGCAGGAAATGGAACTGTTTAGTTTGTTAGCACTTCAGAGCCTCCAATTAACAACTATTCACACACAAGGATAAAGTTCAAATTGGACAGTGTTACCTATTCCTATTCACAGTCAAAGGAGAATAAAAAAGTCCACTTTTATCCATCCATCAATCAATCATCAATCCATCCATCAATCATCAATCAATCCATCCATCCATCCATTGATTCATCCATCAATCATCCATGCATCAATCAACCATTCATCAATCATCCACCCATCCATCAATCATCAATCAATCATCCATCCATCCATCCATCCATCCATCATCCATCCATCCATCCATCCATCCATCCATCCATCCATCAATCATCAATCAATCATTCATCCATCCATCCATCCATCAATCCATCCATCCATCCATCCGTCCATCCGTCCAACAATCATTCATCCATCCATCATCCATCCATCAATCATCCATCCATCCATTGATTCATCCATCAATCACTCATCAATCATCCATCCATCCATCAATCATCAATCAATCATCCATCCATCCATCCATCCATCAATCATCAATCATCAATCAATCATCCATCCATCCATCCATCCATCCATCTGTCCATCCGTCCAACAATCATTCATCCATCCATCATCCATCCATCAATCATCCATCCATCCATTGATTCATCCATCAATCACTCATCAATCATCCATCCATCAATCAATCAATCAATCATCCATCCATCCATTGATTCATCCATCAATCAATCATTCATCAATCATCCACCCATCCATCAATCATCAATCAATCAATCATTCATCCATCCATCCATCAATCATCAATCATCAATCAATCATTCATCCATTGATTCATCCATCAATCAACCATTCATCAATCATCCACCCATCCATCCATCAATCATCAATCAATCATTCATCCATCCATCCATCCATCAATCCATCCATCCATCCATCCATCCATCCATCCATCCATCCGTCTAACAATCCTTCATCCATCCATCCATCCATCCATTGATTCATCCATCAATCAACCATTCATCAATCATCCACCCATCCATCAATCATCAATCAATCAATCATTCATCCATCCATCCATCAATCATCAATCATCAATCAATCATTCATCCATTGATTCATCCATCAATCAACCATTCATCAATCATCCACCCATCCATCAATCATCAATCAATCATCCATCCATCCATCCATCCATCAATCATCAATCATCAATCATCAATCATCAATCAATCATTCATTCATCCATCCATCCATCCATCCATCCATTGATTCATCCATCAATCAACCATTCATCAATCATCCACCCATCCATCAATCATCAATCAATCATCCATCCATCCATCCATTGATTCATCCATCCATCCATCCATTGATTCATCCATCCATCCATCCATTGATTCATCCATCCATCCATCCATTGATTCATCCATCCATCCATCCATTGATTCATCCATCCATCCATCCATTGATTCATCCATCCATCCATCCATTGATTCATCCATCCATCCATCCATTGATTCATCCATCCATCCATCCATTGATTCATCCATCCATCCATCCATTGATTCATCCATCCATCCATCCATTGATTCATCCATCCATCCATCCGTCTAACAATCATTCATCCATCCATCATCCATCCATCAATCATCCATCCATTGATTCATCCATCAAGTTTTTTTTTTCTCCAACACTGGCTTTCTTGTATTACAATAATATCATATTTCATGCACTTAAGCCCAAATGTCAAGCCTGGAAAATGAAGATTATATACCCTCTACCCCTACTTAATATGAATAAATTAACATTTCTTATTCATTGTTTGTTTGTAAAGTTTCCCATCTTGAGACTGAAGAAGCTAATGAGGGCTTTAGTAGAATATATGCCCTAATCCGTCCTTTTAAAATGTCTAATAAAGCGTGTGTTTGTTTATTTGTTTCTTTTTATACAAGAGATCTTGTACTGTATATATCATGTCTTGATTATTGAACTCTAGGATGTTTACATCAATTTCGTGAGTAGCAGGCGTTAATTAGCCTCACTCAGAGCGCAGAACGCTTCTCTGGCTTTATCGTGAATCGATTGTTTAATGACCAGAGTGAGAGTAGATGACAGAGATAATTGGAGTTAATCTAACCTTTAATTGCTTTTATTGAGGTGAGGCAGCTTGTGTGTTTAGAGTAAAATAAAGGAATTATTCAGAGATAAATAAAGAAAGAAAATGGAAGAAAGCCTCAGCATGGGAGAAACTCACTTTTCATTGTCATAGTACAGCTTGCCAATGGCCCAAGCGACGATAATGGGGAATGGAATACCTGAGGAAAAAAGCAGAGCAAATTTCCACCCACTCTGATTAGTTTGAAAAATCAAAGACATTGTATAAACAGTATAATTGATACTATTAAGGAACTGTGTGATAAATCCTTGGCAATGGCTCATTTGCAATGCATTTTTAATGAGGAAAATCCAAGGCTTGTTTATTCGCATAATAATAATTTGCCTATGGTTCAGAAGAGAACCTGATTAAATTGCAGTCCTCAATGTAATTATCAACTACTGTAACTGTGTCTCCTTTTCAAGTTATTAATTGACAGTAATTTAATCACTGCTGTACTTTAAAGGCAACATGCAATCAGAAATGACCTTATTTGCTTTCGCAGTATTTGCGCTGTGTCCAAAATTGTTTGTCTGCTTCTTTATAAATAATCATATAAACTTATAAATAAAAAAATAAAATATTTATATTTCTATATAATATAAATGCATACATGTATGTGTGTCTATTTATATATACATAATTAGTACACACACATATATTATATAAACACTAAATTTTATTGTGCATGTGATTAATCGTGATTAATCGTTTGACAGCCCTAGTTTAAAGTGTTAATACATTTCAATGTCGCAATCTCAAGCTAAAAAAATATATATATTATGTTGAATAAAATAAAATAAAATAAATAAAATAAAATATTTTTGTTCATTTTTCTTAATGTGTTTAATAGATATTAAGGATATTTTAAGTTAGCATAAGCCATTCATAGATTTGTACACAGGCATAAGGGACAAAAACAAGTACTTGATGTGGAATAATTCTACATCAACAATGTGACATATTCATCTGCATGTCATACATGTGACTGCACATGCCATAAGTCATAAGTTATTTCAATATGCATGATCCAAAAACTGTATAATTTCCATCATAGTGCATCATGGGATACTTACACCAGCCTATACAAATGAACATCCATTTCCTCAGTTTGTCGGTGGAGTATGTCAGTACTATGGCTGTGTGCAGATAACAGCCCTCTCCAAACATCCAGAAGAAGTTGGTCACATGGAAATAATTATACGCTGCTGTGACCAGCCTGCACCAGATCTGAGAGTGAGGAGAGAAAGAGAAATCCAGTTAGATGTTTTGAAACTGTCCTAAATTGTGCCTAAGGAGATCACCATGCCACTTCTTGTTAGCATTCTCTGTTTTAAAATGCTTTTATTTTAATAGCTTAAGGAAATGGAAGCTTGCGCATGTGTGTGTTTGCGTGTGTGGAAGGGTTACTCTTTATGACTGAAGCAGAGTTCAAACACCAAGCAGGGGATAAAACCGTTTTACTCCAAGGGAAGGGACATTACAGATGGGTAGATTGGGATGGGGGGTCTAAAACGAGGCCTCGGGATGGAGCAGATTTAGATTAAAGTATGATGAAAGCCAGTGGGTTATGGCTTCTCATGACAGGACTATCAGAAGCACAATACCTCTTAGGATGTAATACAGATGGTCAGTGTCAAAATGAAAGTCTTATTTCTGAATGTGAAATCTTTAAGTTTTGGCAGATCAAAAGTAGTTTGATCGGATTTGAACAATTTCAAAGGCAGTTTTATAAGTTGGGTTTTTTTTTAGTTAAGAAAACAGTGTAAACACTAGTGGTAATTTCCTCAATGAAGACTATGGTGAAAAATGTTCGTTGACAATCTTTTTTCCCATGACTAAAATGAGACGAAGACGAGACGAAAATAAGGTCAATAAACAATAACTGTGACTACACCAACATGCAATATCATTGATGATAAAATACGAGACTGAAATGTATTTAAAAAATCAAAACATAAAAAAAATAAGACAAAAATATTGCAGACTGTTGGACACGCCTCTACTATGCCAGCTTTCATGTTTGCGGTTGCCACATATCAAGAGTTCAAATCCCCAAATCAGAGCTTCTCTGTTGAAAAGATACATTTTCGGCCTGTTTTACTTAATTTATGCAGTCTGGCAGCTTCAGTCTGTGTTCTGTCATGAGCCGCTTGTGCTACATGGATCTCAACTATATTGTTTGCGACTGTGGTTTCTGGAATAAATGCACTTACCCATCTGCTGTTGTTTTAATAGAGAAACATTATTGCAGTTTGGAATTACTGGAATTAGGAATTTTACTGTTTTTGTTTATTTGTTTGACCAGTTTTCATAATGTAGACAGAGAGAGTATATGTCTAAATTCTTGATATTCATTTATATAATAAATAGCTTATACTGAAATAATTTCCTTCATAAGAATCTTATTCAAACTGGATTTTTACATGAAAATGTCATAGATTTTGTTTTCATCTTATTGGTAGTAAATATTATAGGTGTATAAATTAAATAGTTCATATGAATAAATAGCAGTTTACACAATTAATAAACAATACTAACTTCTACTTTAAATAAAACGACAAGAAAACTTGAAAGATAATTAGTTTATTACCTAAAAACAAATGTATCCACTAAATTTGTTTCCACAAAAATATCAAGCAAATAAAAGTGCTAAAACACAAAGTTGTAAAAGGAAGAATAAACAAATACATACATAAATACATTTACATAACCTTTTTACAGTTACAGTAATAATATTCCACAATATTACTGTTTTCACTGTATTTTTGATTAAATACATTTATAAGATTTCTTTCAAAAGGAAAAAAAAAAATCACTGCCCCCAAACTTGTGAACGATAGCGTATATACTTTGAAAAAGGATAGATTGATGATTAAGAAATCATCTAACAGGACAAAAAAACAAACACAAACAAAAACTCGAATGACAGAGATGTTAAAAAGACAGCATGACAGAACTGCAGCTGGATGGGAAAGCAGAGATGCTTCTGACATTTGCAAGAGACATCCACATCAGAGGAGCCCTCTATTTGATCCTGTTTAATCCCAGCCGCCACTCCTTTGTTTTGGCCATATTTCATCACTGTGCCCTGTCAAGTTGTTGTCCCATGAGAAGATAAAAAATCTGTCACTCTCGGCTCAAGATTGAAGATTACAGCTGTGAGTTATGACTGAAGTGGGAATTCAAGGGTCACAGAAAGATTATACATTTCAGACCTCAGAAAGCAAAATCTCAGGCTAACGCTTATCTCAGCCATATGGGCTTGAAAAACTTATGAAGGGTTATTGTTTCCCAGCATTAATCAGTGAGCTAATAGTCCATAGACCATTACATGTGTTCTGTGGTAACGATTTTGTTTCAACGTGAAATGAAAAGCTTCTTCAGTCATAAAGTCCTCTGGCTCTCAGAAGTACTTCTGCAGAATTTTACAACCGTCTTCCATAATAGGCTTCCTGGTGTGACAGGAATTTAGGATCATGTAGAGATTATAAGCTTCTTTGGGATCTTTATTGCTAATTTTACAGTTACTTACTGAACAATGTCTTTCATTAACAGGCATTGCGTAAATTCTCCACAAAGTGACACTTTTCACAATAAATGTGTCATTTTGTGCTATAAAGCTCAGCAAAAGAGCTGTTTGCTTTGACTTGTGAGCCGTTTCTAAACAGATGCATCTTGTACATACAGAAAAAAAAGACAATGCAAAGCTCAACCTCGTTAAGCAAAGAGGATTGAGTCAAGATGGCCTTTGTATAAACCAAGAGGCAACCGGGTTCACTTGCTTGAACTGTAATTGAAACGATTCAAAACAAGTGCATCAATGATATCGCGTATTTACACAATTTCCTTCACATTTAAACAGCCTCCGGCTCTCCATTCTGTCCAAGAATGCTCATTTTATTTCATCTAGACAGGTCGACGGAAGGCATTTGTCCACAAATCTTTTCTTGTCACTTTTAAACATCTCAAAGGAGCTTTCTTTGAATGGAAACTAGGAAAATTAGGCCAATGCTGTCTGTACAAAGACCTGGAGGAATGCTTAATAACCACTTCCGCCTTAAAACCCCTTGCAACTTTTTGCTTCCTATTTGAAGTTTCTCTCTAGGGGAGTTCAGAGGTAGAACTAATGTGTAGCCATACAAAATCTTAGCATGAAGAGCCAATTAAGTCAGCCCTTGCATAAAATACAGATAAACAGATACAAATTATGCTTTGGCAAATACAAAAGATAAGTATCAAGGACAAACATGGCGCAATCAAACTCTGATACTTTCTGAAAAGCCATGTGCATCATAAAGTACGAGGCTGAATTTGGATGTCGATGGAAAAGCCCCTTGGGACTGACATTGACGTGGCGGTAGATTAATTAATTGCTCGGCTCAGTAGATTAAGGAAGCACAGAAATGTGGAGGGTAATTAATTCTTGGGGAAGCATAGAGGATGGTGACTCAGGGGCCGAGCTGTTTGCATTCCCACCCAAAACACCCACCAACACACATCTAGTGCCAACAA